TGCTAGATCATAAAGTAACCAAATCCCCTCCCCCCAAATTCTTGTACCAATTATATCACATCTATGTATAAGAGAACCATTTTCCCATATATTTGTCAATGTGTATCTCATGTTATTGGCCTTTTAAATTTTAAGTTTACCTAGTTTGATGGATAAAAATAGTATATCCCATCCATTAATTCATTCATTGATTGGATGAGCACAGATGAGGGCTGAGCACCTGCAGAGATGGCACTGACCTTTTAGTAGAGGAAGACCAACGTCAGTTACAAAGAAATAAGATACCTACTATCAAATTGGGATTTTATTTTAAATTTTCCTGATTATTCAGGAAGTTGGTCACATTTTTGTGTGTTTCTTAGCCATTTGTATTTCCTTTTATGTGAATTGTCTATCCATACCCCTTGTACATTTTTCTTTCAGGTTGTCTTTTTTAAAAAGTTGCCATTGGTTTGTTATTTTGATCACTAACACTTTATTAGTTGTAAATGCTGGAGATATTTTCTCCAGCTGTCTCTCCATCTTTGAATTTCTGGTATCGCATAGAAGTCATACTTGGAGTTATATACATTTATCTCTATTTTTCTTTATGTTTTATCTTCAGAAGGAGTCCCTTTCTAATCCAAAATCTGAAACATACTTTTCTATATTTTCTCCTGTTTTACACTTGAGGTTTTATGTTTAGTGGTGTGTGTGTGTGTGTGTGTGTGTGTGTGTGTGCACGCACGGTATAAAGTAGAAATATATTTTCTCCCCCCAGACAGATGCCTGCTTTCCCTTTCCCTGTTTATTCAGTATCCACCCATTCCATACTGATTTGAAATGCCACCTTTATCTTTATTAAATTTTTATATATTAAATTTTCATATATTCATGATACTATTCCTGGACACCAGTCTGTCCTGCTGATCTATTTGTCTATTTCTCTGCCAATACCACCATGTTTTAATTACTATAGCCTTAAAACTATGTATTGATAATGAATGTGCCAAAACTCCCTCTTGATCTTTTTTCTCAAATTGTCTTGGCTATTCTTGCACATCTACTCATCTTTGTGAAACTTAAGATAAGTTGTCAAGTGCCATGAAGAAGCTTGTTGGGACTTTGATTGGAATTATATAGGTTAACTTAGGGAGCAATTTTCATCCATGTATATGGTAAAGTTCTCTGTTTATTCAGCCTTCTTTAATAACACAACATGTTTCCATTTCCATTAAGACATTTGAATTGCAGTTGACCCTTGGACAACACAGGTTTTAACTGGGCAGGTCTGCCCCTATGCAGATTTGTTTCAATAAATACAGTACTGTAAGTGTATGATTCCTTATGATTTTCTTAATTTTCTCTTCTCTAGCTTACTGAATTGTAAGGATACAGTATATAATACACGTAACATACAAAATATGGTGTTAATCGACTTTATGTTATGGGTAAGACTTCCAGTCAACAGTAAGCTATTAGTAGTTAAGTTCTGGGGGAGTCGCAAGTTATACACAGATTTTCACCTGCATCGGCACACCAATGCCTCTGTTGTTGAAGGGTCAACTGTACTGATAACAGGTGCCAGTATTGATACTCAGACCTGGACACATCATGGTACTGGCCTGAGTGAGCAGCAGAGATGTGTCCCCACCAAGATGAAATGGGAACTGCAGCTGGGATGGGGGAGAATGTAGAGAAAGGGGGCACCAGCATGCAGAGCAAGTGCCAAGGAAGGAAGCCAGGGAGAAAGATGGAAATTGTACACAGAGGCTTCCAAGGTGTAGCTGTGGATCATGGAGTGTTTCCACATTGCAGGGGAGATTGGTTGTCTGTACAGCTGGAGAGCACTTTTGCCTAGAGCTGTGGGAGGAGCCACAGTCAAGAGACTGGTGGCCTTTGGCCAAGGGCCGAGTAGAAGATGAAGATTTCGTGAAGCAAGATGGCATTGAGCTAGTTGCAGAATAGGAAAACAACAGTTTTCAAGGGAGTTGGATTGAAGCAAGGTGTTAGTCTTTGTTTTTCCCAGGTTGGAGGGGCCATTGGCAGACTTTAGGGTAAGGGACGAGAGGTAGTGGTGAGTGACATACTGACCTCTCAAGGTCACAGAGGAGGCAGAGTGAAAGGCAGGGAGGAGTGATGGTGGTCAGTGGCACCTTTCCTCACATTTCTGATTTCTGCCCTGACAGGTGCAGGCCACCATCGTGGGGCTCCTGGCTGCTGTGGCCGCCCTGCTGCTGGGCGCTGTGTCTAGGGAGGAGTTAGATGTGGCAAAGGTGGAGTTGCTGTGTGCCAGTAGCATCATCACCACCTTCCTTGCCACGTTTGCCCTCGGTGAGCTGTGCGCCCACCCCAGTGACCACCCCCCCCAGCTTGCTCCGCCCCCCTTCCTCAGTGGTCTGCTCTCAGCTCTTTGTGTTGCAATTCCTTGAGATGTGAAAGATGGGAGCACTAATGGTGGAGCCTCATATATCCTGCCAGGGGCTGGGGGAAAGCCTGTTGGGTTACCAAGACGCACCTTAAAGGTGGGCAGGGAAGATGATGAGTCCTACTCTTAGGCAGGGTGTGTGTGCCAGAGCGAGCTGCTGACTCCACATTTCTTCCCTCTGCTTGTTTAAAGAACTGGCCTTTGCTCAGTAGACACATTCATTTCTTCATCCATCCATCCATTCATTCATTCACTTACTCATTCAGTTAGTCTTTAAACATTTCTCAAGCATGGCTTGCATATGGGCTTGTGGTGGGATCTGGAGTCTGCAGTCATGGTGGGGAGCAAGGCTCAGGTTTTAACTTCAATTTCATCTCTGCAGGTGGCCCTTGCACACGTTCCATCCTCCACCCTTCTCCGCAGCTGCCACCACGCTCTTCTGCGCCATGCACCTGTTTTCCTTATAGAGCACTTGTGAAAATCTGTAATCATCCACTTTCTTCATTCATTTTCTGTCTCACTTCCTTGCTAAAATGTCAGCACCTCAGACAGGGGCCCTGCTTCTCCAGTTCTGTTCCTGTCACACTGCCTGCCACACATCAATTGCTTCCTATGTGTCTGCAGAAGGCGGGAAGACACAAGCATTGACAGACATGAGCTCACGCATGACAGTGGCCAGGCAGTTACTGTAGAATGTCACCCATTCGCTCATTTCCTCAGTACTTACTGAGTGTCTGCTGCGTGCCAGGCACTGTTCCAGTGCTAGGGATGCTCTGGTGAGTGACTGCACCGTTCTGTGATGTTGATATTCTGGTGCAGTGAGACATCCATACACGAGCACAAAGGGCCAAGTGTCTAGGGTAGCCCCCCATTCACAGTCATGCTTTCTTTTCATGTCCTGTTTGTTTACTTCAAATTCTTGTTCACTTATTTGTGCACTCTCTGTTCCTCTGCCCAACAAGCATTTACTGTGTGAGTGCAGAGCCTGATGGTTATTTTCTTTTCTTTTTTAAAAAATTTTTTATTGTTATGTTAATCTGATGGTTATTTTCATTACCTAAAATAGGCATATTTTAGCTCCTAAATGTTTGCTGAATGAATGGGCTTTATTCTGGTTCTCTTCTGGTCTGAGTGTCTCTTGCAAACCATGTGCAAGTACAAGAAGGAATAAGTGAAAACAATAAATTGGATTTGCATTTACACTTCTGTCCTCCATCTGACTGCTCATAAAACCCCTTTGAGCTCAGTGTTCTGTAAGATGATGTGGCGGGCTATGTGGTGAATTCTGTTCCTTCCTGTGCTAGTGTATATAATCAGGAGGGAGGGTAAAAGTGCAGAAACCCAGGAGGAGATTCACAAGCTGCGCTTCCCTGGGTAGGAGTGTGCTCCTGGCCAGATACCTGTACCAGTCTGGCCAACGGAAGCGCAGGGTGAGTACGCCACACCTTCTGGAGAATTAGAGCCCAGGAGATGCTTGACATGAAGTCTCTTCTGAAAACAGCACCATCAGGGTGCCTGGGTGGCTCAGTCGTTAAGCATCTGCCTTCGGCTCAGGTCATGATCCCAGGGTCCTGGGATCGAGTCCTGCATCGGGCTCCCTGCTCCGTGGAAAGCCTACTTCTCCCTCTGCTTCTCTCTCTCTCTCTCTCTGTCTCTCATGAATGAATAAATAAAATCTTTAAAAAAAATAAAAAATAAAATGAAAACAGCACCATCAGATGATTCAGGAGGACAGTTCTGTTTCTGTGGGGCCCTGTAGAGAATGCCATTCCTAACTCCCCATTTTACAGATGAGGAAACTAAGGCCCAGAGAGGGGGCGGAGCTCACCAGCATGGACATAGCCGGATTGTCCAGAGATGTGTAGAAGTTCAGAAACATTGCTGGTGGCTCCTTGTGTGACCTCGATGTGACTCTGCTGTAAAGCCAGGTGGTGGTGGTGGTGGTGCTGGTGGATTTTAGTAGGTGCTCTCAAACTGGTGGTGTCTGTGTAGTCCCTGTGGGATTGTTACCAGACCACCAGCTGTGCAGACTCAACTTCACTTAGGACTGACATTTCAAAAGAGAAAGCAGCTATGACCTGGTCATGAAACAGGGCACAAATTGTGGCCAATTAGTATGGCATTGAGGTGAGAATAATAATTTTGTTTAGAGTTATGAATACTGAGTAAAATGTTAAAACATCAATAGCCAAGATACAAAGTGTCTTCTTAAAGATGCACATGTGACACTGTTGGTTGGTTTAAGTCCTAGGCAGTGGCCGAGGGCTAGAAGATGACACATGACTATCACCTTAGAACACAGGGTCAAGACGGGAAGTAGGCCCTGGGGAGGTCTCCAGTGCAGCACCTGAAACTCCACCCCAGCCCCACTGGCAGAGGCCACCTGCTGCCTGCACCTAGTGGTGGCCCTGCTGGGCTCCCAACATGGGCCTGTTCCCCAGAGATGTGGCCCCACTGAAAGTACTTCAGTGCAGTCTGCACCTGCTTCCCCTTCCTCCCCTCCCCCTCTCCCACCCTGGGCGTGCTGTGCGCCATCCTGTGGCTCTCCTGGTTCCCCTGCCCCCAACTTCCCCCTCACAGTCTTTGCCCCTAACAAACCTCTCGCGTTGCTAATCCCACCAAGGTACCTGTTTCCCTGGGGACTCCAGTGGACACAAGAGGCCATGCCCTGCCCCTGGGACTCCATCGTTCACAGCAGTTTTGGAGTCCTCTTTCCTGCAGTGAGGGGCTGTGAGCTTCATGTCTGTAGTCCCAGGTGTTGGGGAGCCGGGAGTCAACTCCCTGCTATCTCCCCCATGGGTTTGAGTGTATCATCAAAGCTTTCAGGCTGCTCTTTGCAGCCTGTCACAGGGGTCCACCCCCCCAACCTCCCACTGCCACTGCCTGATTCTCAGGCTCCAGCATAGCAGTGAAACTGAGTGTCAGGGCAGCCTGGCTCCAGGCTCGGGCTATGTGGATCGAGGCATTACTGAGCAGCCTCACGGCCACCTTCTCATCCTGTGCTTTGAGTTTCCTCTGTCTCCTCTCCGCAGGAATGCTGATGGTTTGTATAGTGATTGGCGCTCTGAAGCTCGGGCTCAACCCAGACAACATTGCCACGCCTATTGCTGCCAGCCTGGGAGACCTCACTACATTGTCCCTTCTGGCTTTTGTCAGCAGCTTCTTCTACAAACACAAAGGTAGGGGTGCCCCAAGAAGGGGGGGGCCACGAGCAGGTCTGGGTATGATATCCGCACCCAGCCCACAGCATTCAGATCAGGCACCCTCACACAGAAAGGAACCTATGGGGTCTATTGTGGGGTCAGAAATCCTACTTTTCCCAAGGCAAAGCCTGAGGTCATTCAGCAGATTTGAGGTGTTCTCTAGCAGGTATCTGAAGCTTTCCCAACCACTCCGGTCAACAGATATGTTGTCTGTGTCCCCCTTAGGACAGGGGTGCACGGGGAGGCCAGGGAGGACTGGAGGCTAACAGAGCTCCATGGGAAGGCAGTTCACGTTGGACACATACAAACCACCCAGGAAGGGACTCCCAAGCAGCAGTGTCACAGCCATGGGCAGCAGCAGCATATGGTCCCTCCAAAGGTGTGAGGAGCCCAGGGCTCCTCAGAAGGTGGTCCGGTGCCCTGGTCAGCAGCTGAGGGAGACAGTCACACATCTTGTATGATGGGCCTTCACGGCTAGAGGCCCTGACCCCACCAGGGGTCTCCCCAGGTGTGTCCTGGGAGTACCGAGGTTTGTTCATGCCCTGGGCAGTGTGACCAGGCAGCATCCCCCTTGCCAGATGGTTCTCACCTGCTAGGTTTCCACAGCTGACCACTCCCCTCTGAGTGTCACAGTTGTTACTTTCCACCTAAGCTGGCCACCTGCAGTTGTTTGGATCTAGTAAGTGTGGATTCTGAGCATGGTCACAACCCTGAGTGCTGGGAGGGGGGCAGGTGGCATCAGTGAGTGGTGCAGATGGTGAAGAGGACAGTGGGGAGCATTGGAGAAAATGCCTGGACAAAGGCACAGCTGCACTGAAGCTCCAGCTTAGCATTGCCCCGTGGGAATGTGGACCCAGGACCATGAGAGATCACCCAGCATCTCCATGATGGCATCTGAAGCATACTGACAGAGTACCTGCCACTTAGAGTATTCAGGCCCTGGAAACCTTTCCCTCTCAGCCTTGGGCCTGGCTCCTTGCCACCCCGGGATATGCTTGCCACCAATGTTTAATGGTTGGGAGATTCTCAAAGTTCCTGTAAGTGGTAGTGAAGATCTAATGATAAGATGACCTAATTTTCCTTTTAAACCAAACTGAATTTATAAAATAAGATTTGTGTATGGGTTGGCTAATGGAGTTTCATAGGTGTCCCGAGACCCTTCCTCTCCACCCTGCTGTACCCCTACTGAAATAGTGCGCATTTCAACACATGACTTACTAGCCGTTGAGTAGTGTTGGGCTGTCCATCTCTCAAATTAGACTGTGACTACACCTTGGGTGTGCTTGGGGGGTTCACTGGGCTTGGTGTGTATCGGATAAATCTTCACTGACGACTGTGTCACCTGTCAGTGCAGTTGGGAAGACAAGCCATATGCGGGGGGATGTACTCATCATGGTGGTGGGAAAATATGAGGTGGAACCTCTGTCAGGGCTTCCAAGTCATTCTAGAACAACTGGCCTGCAAAACTGTCCCACAAGTAGTGCCCCTATAGGCTGCTGCCTTCCAGAGCCTTCAAAACGTGCTTAGGGCTTGCTGGGCTTGTCCCTCATCTCCTGGGATGGTGAAGAGGCTGGCCACTTCTGCCATGGAGCACTTTGTCCGGAGCCCACCATGGGCACCTGTGGCCCACCCTTCCTTGTAGTTGCTCAAGGAAAGGAATGGACCGTAATTGCCTAGTGCAGAGAAAGACAAGTGGGAGATGCTCCTAATGATGCTGCTCAGAGAAAGGGGGTGTGGGGCGCAGACCCACCTGCACACCTCTGAGTGCTGAGGCCCACTCTGCAGAGGGGCATGCACCACCCTGCCTAAGCCTGCCCTTTGGAAGCAGGGCTAAGGGGTGAGAAGACAGTTCTAGAGAAAGCTGGTGTCTTGTTCTGTGTGCATTTGGAAGGTGACACACAGAGAATAAGCAGGAAGAGTGTGAGTGGGAATGGTGCTGGTGTGTGTTGGGCCCTGGCCGGACCCGAGGTACAGTCAGGTGTCCCACATTCAGGTGTGTTTTCATGACTCACACCAGTGCAAGAAAATGACATGGGCATGAGTAGCTGCAAAGCTGGCCATGTTCTGGGCCCTGAGACCCATGGATGCCAAGGAGGTCACCTTGGGCTGGCCTCAGCCAGAAGCAGGATTGGCATCATTAGTTAACTCTGGCATTAGCCCTGATTTCTGCATGCTGGCTCGAGTCCTTGTGGGCCATCTCGTCACACTGTAGTATGCCTATCTGAGGGGTAGTTGAGAATGTGAAATGAGTTTGTGCTTGGGAAATGCTGAGCATGGTGCTGGCCCATGGTCACAATCCTATAAATGCCACCATTAATAATAATAACTAGGTTGGCATGGGAGGAGATGGAAGAGGGTACTTATGTCAGGAAAATAGCAAAAAAGAAAGGTGAAGGGGACAGTGACAGGAATTGAGGACAAAGAGGAGCTTTTCCAGTTGCTTCATGAGATGGTACAAATTCTTTGAGAGGTATGTTAGGTTGGCCCACTTTAAGCTGCTGGGGACAGAAGTGTCTCCTCAGACCTCTAGTGCTTTTAGCTCTCTGCCCACCTCTCACCTTTGCAACCCAGGCCATGGCCCAGCAGGCCATGCTCATGTGCCCTGGCATGTGTCCCCTCCCTCTCCCCACAGACAATCGATATCTGACGCCGCTGCTGTGTATTAGCTTCATGGCCCTGATCCCCATCTGGGTCCTCATTGCCAAGCAGAACCCACCCATCATGAAGATCCTGAAGTTTGGGTGGTTCCCAATCATCCTAGCGATGGTCATCAGCAGGTGAGCATGAGCGAAGGCTGCCACCAACTTCTCCCTTCACATACCACCCGTGGCTTCTGTGGACAAGGAGAGTGGCCTGAGAGCTGCAGAACCTCTGGAGTGAGGGCGGCACTCATGGTTGCTGTGGGCTCCTCCCTTAAGTCCTGGTGCTGGTTGAGTCATACCTCTTTATTCTTCATCTCTTTCCCTCTCACCAGGAACCTTAGGCCTTACTTATTCTGAGAGGCAGCCCTATTTACAATTGCAGGAGCACCAGAGAGCCAGGCAGAGCCAACCTGGGAACATCAGATGGGTGCACTAGTGCTTCCACTCCCTGCCCCCTCATGGCGCTGCAGGACACTGGGTCTCCCGCTCCCATGCTGCCAGAGCTCTCACTGGCCTGGACCCCTGCTTAGGCTGTAGGGAGCCCCTTACCTGCCTCTGTGAACACCACTTCTATAGCATGGCTGCTGGTGGGACCTGGGAGGCTGAGGGATTATTGGCCCTGGGCCCTTCAGCTCATCTCAGGTCTTCTACCCTTGAAACCTGATCCTCCAGAGCCCTTTCTGTTAGTAGACCTGGACAGGGGCCACCCCAGTCTTTTCTGAGGTGCTTTCCTAAACTTGAATCTCAGGGAGAAGGAGTTATGAGCTAGGTGTCTTTGCTTCCAGAAAGCTCCTGGGCTCCTTATACAAACTGGTCTAACTTTTCCAGGGCTATAGCGGCAGGGCAGCCTTTGCTAAACTACAGGGGCTGGTGGGAGTGAGGTCTTGTTGTGGCATCTCTGAGAACAAGCAGCATGGGACGATACTCATGCAGGTTCCATTTTCTGCTCAGGAAACTAGCATTTCAGTTACATTTCAGGGCATGCGTCACGTGGCAGAGCCCAGCCAGCTAAGAGGCCTTGGAGGGGAGTTTGTCATTTGTTTTTAATGGGCTGACATTATCTGATGGGTCTTCTGAAACAGCTGAGGCTCAGAATACAGGTGGAGAAGCAAGCACGCATAGTGCAGAGGACACTGGGGAGACCAGCTTGGCTACAACAGATATTTTGTGTAGGGGTCAGGAAAGTGTTTGCTAAGCTGAGAAGGCAGGCTGATGAAACATTTTGTATAGAGGTGTACCAGGTCATCTACAAGGGTAAACTAACCATTTACCCTCTACTCTCTCCCCAGTTTTGGAGGGCTCATCTTGAACAAAACATTTCTAAACAGCAGTACAGAGGCATGGCCATATTTACTCCCATCATATGTGGTAGGTATCGGCAGCACCGTCACCTGGGGTCCTCAGTGTGCTGGGCTGTGCTGGCCCCCAGGGCCAGGGCAATGGGATCTGACAGCAGCAACTTCAGAGATCTGTTCCCAGGCCCTCAGAGCCATGGCCATGCTTCTGCTGGGCAGCAGCTGCTGGACTGGTTTGTCTCGGGTGGAAGGAGATCCTTGGGGAGAAAGCCCTGCCCACTGTTCCACCAGCTCACACCCTTTTCCTCCTAGTCACCACGGAGACTTGAGCCTTCCTGCAGAGCTAAATCCCACCTGTTGAAGGCATACCGTGTCTAAGCCAGGATTTGCTGGCCCCTGCAGACAGAATGTGGCCTTCAGAACTGGGGTGTTAGCTTCTCATGGTTTTGTTTTGTTTTTAAACTTAGATTCATTGATGACATTTAAAACTCAGACATTTGCACATAAAAATCTGGATTTCTGTTTTCTCCTTAAAAAGCAAGGCTGTGATAGTACTGAATTTACATTCTCGGTGAGGTGAGAATCAGCTGCCACTGAGATAGGATTTATGCTGTTCTGTTTGCCTGAATCCCCTCCATTTCCCGTTGTCTTTCACCCAACATTTCACTGATTCACCTTTTAGGCTTAGACCCTGTGGGCATTTATGGTGAGGACCCTCTTTTAACCAAAGCTTGGTTCGTGTCCAGCTTCTGACTTATCAGAATCTATAAATGGGACCAGCCAGTCAGGAGAGGAACCAAACGTGATAACTTACTGCACACTTCGCTTGGTCCCAGGCCCTGGTGTTCTGGGTCTGTAGAAACAGGCTTCAGGGACTCCTGGGTGGCTCAGTTGGTTAAGTGTCTGCCTTTGGCTCAGATCATGATCCTGCAGTCTTGGGATCGAGTCCCACATCAGGCTCCTAGCCCAGCAAGGAGCCTGCTTCTCCCTCTGCCTGCCACTCCCCCTGCTTGTGCTGTCAAATTCTTCATATCATTGAGATCATATGATACTTGTCTTTCTCTGATTGACTTATTTCGCTTAGCATGCTACCCTCTAGTTCCATCCATGTCGTTGCAAATGGCAAGCTTTCATTCCTATTGATGGCTGCATAATATTCAATTGTATATATATACATCTTCCTTATCCATTCATCTGTCGATGGACATCAGGCTCTTTCCATAGTTTGGCTATTGTGGACATTGCTGCTATAAACATTGGGATGTATGTGTCCCTTCGGATCACTACATTTGTATCTTTGGGGTAAATACCCAGTAGTGCAATTACTGGGTCATAGGGTAGCTCTATTTTCAACTTTTTGAGGAACCTCCATAACTGTTTTCCAGAGAGGCTGCACCAGCTTGCATTCCCACCAACAGTGTAGGAGGGTTCCCCTTTCTCTGCATCCTTGCCAACATCTGTCATTTCCTGACTTGTTAATTTTAGCCATTCTGACTGGTATGAGGTGGTATCTCATTGTGGTTTTGATTTGTATTTCCCTGATACTGAGTGATGTTGAGCACTTTTTCATGTGTCTGTTGGCCATTTGGATGTCTTCTTTGCAGAAATGTGTGTTCATGTCTTCTGCCCCATTTCTTGATTGGATCATTTGTTCTTTAGGTGTTGAGTTTGATAAGTTCTTTATAGATTTTGGATACTAGCCCTTTATCTGATATGTCATTTGCAAATATCTTCTCCCATTCTGTTGGTTGTTTTTTGGTTTTGTTGACTGTTTCCTTTGCTGTGCAAAAAGCTTTTTATCTTGATGAAGTCCCAATAGTTCATTTTTGCTTCTCTTTCCCTTGCCTCTGGAGACATGTGTAGCTAGAAGTTGCTGTTTCTGAGGTTGAAGAGGTTGCTGCCTGTGTTCTCCTTTAGGATTTTGATGGATTCCTTTCACATTGTGGTCTTTCATCCATTTTGAGACTATTTTTTTAGGTTTAATTTAATTTTATTATGTTAGTACCCATACAGTACCTCATTAGTTTTCGTTGTAGTGTTCCATGATTCATTGTTCTCGTATAACACCATTGTTTTGCTCCATGCAATATGTGCCATCTTAATACCCAACACCAGGCCAACCCATCCCTCCACCCCCATCCCCTCTAAAACTCTCCGATTGTCTCTCAGAGTCCATAGACTCTCAGGGTTCATCTGCCCCCTCCAATTTCGCCCCCTTCATTTTTCCCTTCCTTCACCTAATGTTCTCCATGCTATTCCTTATGTTACACAAATAAGTGAAACCATATGATAATTGACTTTCTCTGCTTGACTTATTTCACTTAGCATAATCTCCCCCAGTTCCATCCATGTTGCTGCAAAACTTGGGTATTCATCCTTTCTGATGGCTGAGTAATATTCCATTGCATATATGGACCACATCTTCTTTATCCATTTGTCTGTTGAAGGGCATCTTGGCTCTTTCTACAGTTTGGCTATTGCGGACATTGCTGCTATGAACATTGGATCCTTCTTCTCACTACATGTGTAGTGACAGGGAAAGCAGCCCTCCAGACTGAAACCCAGAGCAGTGTGGCTGTGCATGCATTTTGAGTCTTATTTTTGTGTGTGGTGTAAGGAAATGGTCCAGTTTCATTCTTCTGCATGTGGCTGTCCAATTTTCCCAACACCATTTGTTGAAGAGACTGTCTTTCTTCCATTGGATATTCTTTCCTGCTTTGTTGAAGACTAGTTGACCATAGAGTTGAGGGTCCATTTCTGGGCTCTCTATTCTTTTCCATTGATCTATGTGTCTGTTTTTATACCGGTACCATACTGTCTTGATGATTATAGCTTTCTAATAGAGCTTGAAGTCCGGAATTGTGACGCCACCAGCTTTGCTTTTCTTTCTCAACATTCCTCTAACAATTTGGGGTCTTTTCTGTTCTGTACAAATTTTAGGATTATTTGTTCCATTTCTTTGAAAAAAGTTGATGGTATTTTCATAGGGATTGCCTTAAATGTGTAGATTTGCTCTAGGTAACATAGACATTTTCACAAATTTGTTCTTCCAATCCATGAACATGGAATGTTTTTCCATTTCTTTGTGTCTTCGTCAATTTCTTTCATGAGTATTCTATAGTTTTCTGAGTATGGATTCTTTGCCACTTTGGTTAGATTTAGTCCTAGGTATCTTACGGTTTTGGATGCAATTGTAAATGGGACCGACTTCTTAATTTCTCTTTTTTCTGTCTTGTTGTTGGTGTATAGGAATGCCACTGATTTCTGTGCATTGATTTTATATCCTGCCACTTGACTGAATTCCTGTATGAGTTCTAGCAGTTTTGGGGTGGAGTCTTTTGGGTTTTCCACATAAAGTATCATATCATCTGCAAACAGTGAGAGTTTGACTTCTTCGTGGCCGATTCGGATGCCTGTTATTTCTTTTTGTTGTCTGATGGCTGAGACCAGGACTTCTAGTACTGTATTGACTAGCAGTGGTGATAGTGGACATCGCTGCCGCTAAGGTTCCTGACCTTAGGGGAAAAGCTCTCAATTTTTCTCCATTGAGCATGATATTTGCTGTGGGTTTTTCATAGATGGCTTTTATGATACTGTGGTATGTACCCTCTATCCCTACACTCTGAAGAGTTTTGATCAAGAAAGGATGCTGTACTTTGTCAAATGCTTTTTCTGCATCTATTGACAAGATCATATGGTTCTTGTTCTTTCTTTTATTAATGTATTGTATCTCATTGATTGATTTGCAGATGTTGAACCAACCTTGCAGCCCAAGAATAAATCCCACTTGGTCATGGTGAATAATCCTTTTAATGTACTGTTGGATCCTATTGGCTAGTATTTTGGTGAGAATTTTTGCATCCATGTTCATCAGGGATATTGGTCTGTAGTTCTCCTTTTTGATGGGGTCTTTGTCTGGTTTGGGGATTGAGGTAATGCTGGCCTCATAAAATGAGTTTGGAAGTTTTCCTTCCATTTCTATTTTTTGGAACAGTTTCAGAAGAATAGGTATTAATTCTTCTTTAAATGTTTGGTAGAATTCCCCTGGGAAGCCATCTAGCCATGGGCTCCTGTTTGTTGGGAGATTTTTGATGACTGCTTCAATTTCCTTAGTGGTTATAGGTCT